TAACTTTAACATGTATTCAAAGAAGTATTTATCCTGTTACATACCTTTATTCCTGAATCGTGTTCAAATGTATACTATTTACCCTGGCAGATCTTAACTAATTTCACTGCGATGAGATACCTAATCATCTCTGTTTATTTTTCGTAGTCCACCCTTTATATCGAAATTAACACCGGTTTCATTATTCAGAATCGATCACCTCCTTTGTAGAATGTTAGTCAAAAATTATGATCATCAGTATTAGGTAATTATTCGGAACTGGTCGAAATATGATGAATTTTCCCTCGTTCCTCCATTTAGAAGCCTGTCTGACTGTTGTTCGAAAAGTTTTGCTTCATTGACATTAGACCCCACTCTCATTGTTGAGGAGTTCTCTGGCTATAGACCTTTTGATCTTATCTATCTTGTCCTCCAATATTGTGTTTTATAATAAGGTCGTACCAGGAAAATGTGGATCATGACAAGTATATCTCGTTATCACATGCAATGGATCGTTCAGTGTGCAGCTCCGAAAAGCCTCAGTATGGTCGGGGGTGGGTATCTAGGGTTGCGGCTGGTCACGCTTCCCTTGAACCTTGCGAAATGCTTCCATACGACCAAGCGTCTCAAATAGCCTCTGTTGAGGAAGCCCCACTCACTGACTTCTCTTGGCGGAGGTGTTTTCCCACCAAAGCGAGAGGACGAAAAAACGATATCCGGGGCTATAACCGGTTTGGTGGACCACTGGTAGTTCACCTGGAGGAGATGGTCGGAAACCGTGATTTCAAACCAACCAAGAGGAGGCGTAGAAAACACACCTTCCCGGGTGTGGCCTTGTTGTCACTGGCTCGATTGTATATCGAGATGTATTGGGCACCTTGGACGTTTGACCCCGTCCGAAGGGCGTATGACGCGATGAACTGGACACCGGCTTTCAGTGGATTACGGTTTTCACACACCGCCCCGCTGACTTGCGGGTCAAGCTTTGGCTAGCCGAAGGCTCCCGTTGTGGATTCCTCAAGATAGTTCACCTGTCTTGACCAGGGCAACCTGGCAGTATTCGGCCCCCATGAAAATCACTCAATGTTGTTCTCTTCATAAAGATTATTGTATTACGATTTGTTTGGTCTCAGATGTGTGTGAAATATATGTACATATGTACCATTTCGCATCTCCACTGTTTTCTCGATTTTCTTCAATATATTTTTCTCTTCCGTTTTTGTCTTATTTGCTCAGCCAATTCCGCTTGGAAACAACGTTTACTTTGATCAGATTGTTAACTTTGTCGGGTTTGGAGCAAATTAAGCATGGATTGAAAAGTTAGGAAGCCCTGGATAACTATTCATTAGTAGTGCGACTCTATCGAGCTCGAAATTTCAAGCATGCATAACACTTCTAGCTTTTCAGTCCATCGTGGTCATTAAGTGGAGTAAAAGCTATCAGGTCTTGTGGTTTTCATCACGATTTATTGTGCACTGTACAATTAACACACACTCCTGTGATGAACAGACCAACTTTGGCATGAGTCACACGAATCGAGTGAGACAGCCTCCTGGTTAGTCCTTGTTAGTGGACGCTGCCATTTGCCCTGGCCTGTTCGTCATACAGTAGTTCCCATCAGGTAATCGATTGGGAATAGCCGATTGTTCAGAATAAATCAGCCCAAGAGAATGGGAAACCTGCTTATTTAAACCACATGAGAAGGAAATGAAACAGATTTCATGGTCCCCATGACATACATTATTTGTTCACTAACGCGGAAATTTCCATAATCACTGTATTTAAAAAGAGATACATAACAGAGTTCCGTAAAGAGAATTATATTTTCCTAAAACCGAGATACGAATTGATGACGATAATTATTTTTTTGTAATCCCCGCCTGTTTCAGTAAACGGTACATTTTACACAACAACCATTAAGGATCGGTATTTCAGTTTAGTATATTGAGGTTAACGCCAACCTTCAGATAAAGGTATAACATACTCAAAAGAAAATAATTCTCATTTAGACCTAACAGCGATTCTTGTATCAATCCGTAAAAGTTTGATATTTACATTGGTACTAGATATAGACTGTCTTGCGTTCATTATCGTAGGTAGTAACCGTTCTACTACGCTCCTTCAGCATGACGATGAATCTGACTTTCTGCACTTCAAATCTGGCTGAAAGTTAGTGATGAATGTTCAACGGATCAACTAGAATTCAACTGCAAAAACGTCATCATTGTCATTTATACCATATCCGTTTTAACAAATGGTCTGCTTGGGTAAACTTTAGAAAATATTTTCAATAAAGAACTCATTTATTCTACGTTTGAATATTCTGTTGATGTACATATCCCCAGTTATAGTTGGCAATACAATTCACCAATGAATTGTCGATGAGCGAAAAATGAAACTATCAGTTGTGTTCCATAATCGATGGGATCTTGGCGAGCTGTCTGATTGACTGGACAAGATTGACACATAGACAGTTCACACTACTGGTGCATGCTGAGGGATATATGGGTCACGTGATAGGAGTAGATCAATGATCTTGTGATTCGAATCAAGGATTCATTACAAAACTGCAGTAAAAAGGATAAAGCCAGCTTCTATGAATAGGATATTACTTCGGGTGGCCGATTTGTGTTGTTTTGTTGTTTCTACGGGCTCTGAAGGAGATTCAATTTGTTCGCTTAACGAGGATAAATTCGAGTTTACCCCGATTCCCAGTGGATTAGTACCCGAGTCAGTGTCCTCTCATGGTACCCAAGAACCATCGCCAGTTGGAGATACTACGGGAAATTCGACTGTTTGAAAAAAGATAAATGAGATTTTATTTTAATTTGAATTGAGGTGAATTAAATGGTAAATTCATCTACGGCTTTAAGTGTTTCTTGAATTCTCGGACAGGATATTGATTAACAGACTTGAAATGTTCATATGTCTGTGAGGAAAATTTCATTTTAATTTGATAATTTCATTCTTTTTTGTTCTTCTTTTCTTTATATATTGACTTTTGTTCACCGTAGTTCAAGAAAAACTCCTTATGAAAGGCTAAAGACTTTGTTTTATTGACTATGTTTGACCTATCAAAGTCAAGTTATCAGTTCCACTAAACCAGCTGAAGTGCACTTTATGTTTCACGTTGATGCTCCCTTAGTGGTTCATACTTCATTGAAAGCCAATAGCCAAAGTCTTTTCCGATGCCCTTGATCTGTCAAACACCATATGAATGTGATTTATCTGGAATAAAATACTAAACCACAATATTCTAAGTTGTTTGAATCGTTGTAAGACTAGTTTCGCGAGAGATCTGCTTCGAGGATACTCAGAATAAACATTTACTCCATCATCATCATCATCATCATCGTACAGCGAGATACAGTGAAGCGAGCTTTACTGATCGCTGCCAAGATTTACTCCATCGGTTAAAGAGAAATTCATTTTAGGAGAATGAAGCCGTGGTTAGTCATAATTGGAAAGGGGAAAGTCGTCATTTTGAAAACCAACGGGTTGCTTACGAAAGGAAGAATTTATTTAGAGCCTGGATAGAATCGTGATTATAGATGCAGTTAATTGGGATTCAAGATATTTATCTTTGGTGGAGCATTGCTTTCAATGAAAAGGTCGGATAAAACTGTTTCACAGAGTTAACAGAGTGAAATCTAAGTTAAAAAAATTCATTGGATCAAGATAACAACAATAGCAAATAATGAAACAAAAGCAATAATATCATTTAGTTACAGTAGATACATAATTTGTATACGTCGTTTCATTTATGCATGTGGCTGTTTTGTTAGCAGTGACAAACGCACAACGCTTTCAGTTTGACTAAATTGAAACAATCAGTGAATTTAGATCCTAATTCACGGACTATGAGTAGTGTGACTCATGTAAAAATTAACGAAAATAATTATGAGAAATGGTAAATCAATGTTAATAAGAGCAAGGATTTCAAATCAACCATTTACAATATTTGCAATATTCACCACTAATAATGCAGTCTGTTCAAGTGGAAGTGTTGTGAACGTCTTCAGGAAATTATCAAAATATTTGTGTTTTAGTGGGATGATTACAGGATTTGGATGAAATAACCAATTCAAAAAAGTCAGATTTATGGCATGAGAATAAGGGCTTGTCAAGTGTGTAGTNTGAACGGTGACTTCACAATATTACCTGGTGCAGTAATCACCACATCCATGTACACATTGTGCAGGCTATGTTGTTGGCACGCACGCTTTTCTAGACCAGTTGAATAAGCTGACATTCGCGCAGAGATATTTCAAAGTATGGCGTCTTGTATTTATCACAAGTATTTAACTTTGTTTAACACATACCTTTTAATCAATGCGATTATCTGTGAGCCCGTTATTGCATTACATCTTTATAAATTTATATAATTACCTGTTTGTGGACTAGCATGGTACCAACGCCACAATATTAATGGAAAGCAGCGGGATTCGGTTTTAGGTGGGAGCTATTTAGAAAAATAAATTATAGTGAACTAACGGAACAAGTGTTGGTTTCTTCATTTGTCCGTTGTTAGATATTGAGTGACCAATAACAAAATTTATCGTTCAAGTGTTTTGACTTTTGTAGTAACGTCTTCTTTGGATTGGTCTAAACCGTTCAAATTTGATAAAATTGAGACAAGCTTTTTACCTAGACGATTGGCAGTTCGCACATTTTCTGAGAAACGCAATTTGAGAAGCGAAATGGTGTTTTAAGAACCATATTGTTNCGTTTTGCGATACATATCGACTTCAGGGACGCATACATTTAGGTTTCAAGGTCAGTTCATTCGAGGGCGAATGCAACAGTCCACCTCGCCCAATCAGATTAGCGGGCTGTTTGTTCGTTCCAACGTAGACGAATGAAATCGGTTGCAACTGACCAATGATGTGCTAGGGCGGTACCGAATCTGCTTTGTCAGCCTATTTGTTTCGACGTCGAACTGATTTATCGCATTTCTGTACCCTTACCTACAGATTGTCTTTTCCTCTAGTAACTGAATTCTCCGATACTTATTGTGAACAATGGCAGACAACAAATTGCAGAAGGCCAAGGCTATTTTCATTCTTGGTAAGCAAGTACTTTTTTGTTTTGAAACTGCTTGAATTACCTTAGCGAGATGTTTATCCACGAAACCACTAGTTATTAGACAATGAATAGTATTGATTTTACAACCAAGCTATCTGTTGTTTTCTGCAAGTAACGGGGATTTATTCTGATTTTCTGTTATCGATGGGGGGAATGAGATGATCATGAATGAACTGTAGTCACCAGTTTATTGTCTATTTATTGAAAACCTGACCAGAAGTGTTTGTCCATTCTGTCTTGCTTTGACGGATGAAAAACAAACTGATTAATAATCATGTATAAGATACTCTATTAGATATGAGAAGTACGTCCACTACGGTTCGTCGTCACTAATCTCTCAGCGGATCCCGTGACTGGCAACCAACCAAGTGATTACCGAATCGGCCAGACGGCTCGTCATTGCAACAGACGTAAGCCGCGAATGATGTACCTGTGGCCACTGACGTCAATTTGCATTAGAGCACAGCGATGAAAAAGATCAATAAGTGCAATAACGTGCGAACGAGGGGAAAATGAAAAGTTAGTTCTGGCGCGGAAGGGTATCGGGTGAAACAATGTAAAATAGCTGCCAAAGTGTGTTGATATTTTCTAACAACAAACTGAATGTATCCAAAGTCCTGTTAAACACTATGAGTTGTCAACTCTTCAGTTCTGAATGGAAAATTATTATAACCTGAAACTTGTTATATGCTCAGACATTTTCATTCAATACGGAACATAATGGGGCCTTAAGGAAAACATGTTTATGTCTCATAAAAGCAGCGTTCATCAATAACGATGTTGATCAAAAATATAACAATAGCGTTGGGAATCGTTTATTATTCTCTTATTGAAGGTATAATAAATTCTCAGAAAGATAGTTCAGTTAAACAAGGAATGTTATAGATGTGTGAAACATGAGAACTTAGGAACCAGAGGTGAAAGACGAACATAACCGCATTGCAACGAACTCTGATGAAACAAAACAGACATTTACCATATGTATGGTGACATTTTATAGGTGGACCAGGAAGCGGAAAGGGAACGCAGTGTGAAAAGATCGTGGCCAAATTTGGCTATAATCACTTATCCAGTGGTGATTTACTTCGAGCAGAATGTGCTTCCGGTTCACCGCGAGGAAAAGAGCTGTCTGCAATCATGGAACGCGGCGAGTTGGTCTCTCTTGTGAGTTTTAGTTCACCGATACCCGTTTGCTTGTTCTTCCATGTTGCTTATAGAAGATAAACATGCATATTTTGTGAAACCTAGAGCAAAAGAATAAGTTTTCATGCCCCTCTAATTTGCCTTAGTTGTAATACTATATTATCTCAGTGCAGCATTGAAACAATTCAAAAGGCTTGGGGCGTAATTGCAACCCTTATTGATATCACACTAATACTGTATTTAGACAGGACCGTAAACATTTTCTTTGTACTTTTGAAGAGATTATAGGAAATCTTAAATTTGTTTCAAGGAGAACGAAACTGAAATATCTAGACTTATTCCGTTTTTCACCTAGTTTCTCTCTACATGGAAACTCCTAACCAAATAAATTTTGAACTGCAATCAACTAGATAATCCATGTTTCATCATTTATTAACACCGTAAAGTAGACATGCATTTTTGTATAAATTCGGTTAGTGGAAATTAAAAGTAGGTGATATCGGAACCGACAGAGGGTAGTACCCGGAACCTTAGTGTTTGTGCGCGGAACGGTATGTGAACTGCACTTTGAATCCATTGCAAACGTTTACCGGCGCCCATGCCGACTGAATCGTGTGAAGGGACATGCGACAAAGTGCAGCACCATACTTCATTACAAACACTCTTTGATAGCAAAAGGTACCAAACTTAGGACAAATAGTGAGTCTTAGAAACACGAAACTTTAAGAGCTATAGGTTGGAGTATTGCAATCAAGCCTGCCATCGATGTTATTCACTGCAACGATGGGACAACTTGACCGTTTTATGAAACCAGGTCTACCAGATTACGCTCGAAAATAAAAAGTAATAAAGTAATAAAATTACCCAGTAGGAGGGTTTCAAAAGTCCAAAAGTTGCCAATCTTTGAAGTACCGTTGGTAATCAACAAATGATAGGCTTTTTTGTTTTGCCAAATCAGTCTGCACTTTTGCTTCTAATCAGATTGCTTGTCAAACGATTAAGTTTACTTTTTAGTTTTGTTATGAAAAATAAAGGAGTTTGTACCTTGAATAAAATAAATACACATCCTACGGTAAAAAAACTTGAGATGTACTACAAATGCAAGTGATCTGATATGACGCTATGGTTGTGGTTTACTCTAGTGAAAACCTGCTATCAAATTCTTACCACCGAAAAAGGGGAGGTATATCTTTCAGAATTATTTTGTCATTTACCGTGAAATCCGTTGGGATATTTTGCCTTTGGTTGCGATTAATATCATTCGTTTTATTCAGTATCCTGGGATGCGGCAACTGATGATAATTGTCGAAAATGTGTTTTCTATCATTTTTTGATTTCATAGGGAACTTGGAAATAATAGGCGGTGTGGATGCAACTAAACACGATACTCGTCGGTAAACTCTGTTGTGATAATGAGGGGGAAAATCCGGGTGGGAAAGTTTGTGAAACATGAACTATTAGTACACCGAGCATCTTTGACGAAACTCAGAGTAACGCACGAATCAGGAAACCAAATCAAAATCTGTTTTCAGTCAACTGATTCAAAGATAAGCTATCTATGTAAACTATATGTTTACAAAGGTTTCTACTAATCCTGATACCACAAACAAACTTATTGTCACAGGTTCACGACTTGTAATCTAAGAATAATGCTGATAACAAGGTTGGTTGTGATATTACGAAATTGGTTTTTCTGTGGTTTTTATATGGAGTGAATTTCTCAAACTACACCTTTCCCATCAAGCTTTAGTCAAAACCCTCAGTCCCTGAGCTTCAATCCGTAATCCTTTAGCCAAAACCCACAATCTTTTAACCTTGACTAAAATTCCTTGAGCGAAATTCCAAAAAGCTTTAGTCACGAGTCTTAGTCCTTTATCCTGAACACAAACTTTAGTCACACCGCAGTAGGCGGACCAGATCAAAAAGTATCGGAAGATTCTGAAGTAAACTGATGTTGAAAAAATTATTTTCTGCAAATATTGTTGTTGCAAAGCTTGATGATCGCATGCTACACCAAATGTTGATTGGAGAAGGTTTAACCTATGTGCTCGTACCGTCAAACCAAAGGCCCACCTTGATTTGATGATTTTTGCAGACTCTATTATTCCAGTGGAGGTTTGTAAAGGTTGACGGAAATTGTAAAGAACAACTTTTTGAGCATTAGTGGTACCCGGAAATTGAAGGCCTTCAAGAATTTTATACTTATTGATCTTCCATACCTTCCCTCTACTCGTTCATTCAAATAAGCCACTGAAGACAGCAAAGAAACACGCCGCTCTAAACAGCAGGATTACTTATTGATGAAACTGAGACTGAAATAAAACTGCATATTCTTATGAGAGTGTTATATTTACTGGCTAAATCGATCAAGTGATTTCCTCAAGCCTACATATTCACACAAACTAAAAGACAAAATTGAGAATATGTCAAGTTTATCCGTTTCTGTAACTCAGTAACCTGGATTCGGAAAAAGATGTACATGCCAACTATGCTATAGAGCAAGTTTCTTTTCAGGGTTATGATGAATGAAGGAGAACCCGCAGATTGGTGTGTGTGAGTAGGGAGTTAACTATTTGTTCCTTTTGGAAAACTGCAAAAGGACCAAATGCCTATGCATACTTGGGCAGCCAAAAGGAGTTATGGCAAGAGATGAGCTGACAAACCTATTCAGTAAGTGTCGTATTCCATCTTCAAAATAGGAACCTATTATGGAAGTTGTTCATTCCAGACCTGGGTGCAATCTCAAGCAATCGATTTCTTATGTTTTATGCTGGTGACTCAGCTGCAAAACTCGACTACCTTTAGGTTTATTTTTCCTTGACAGACTTCTAACTACCACTAATTTGTTCCCCAAAATAAAATAAAAGAATTAAACATATTTTCTTGCTCTTTTCACTGGAAATGTGCAAATAATTTTCTTTGCATCAACTGCGGAATAAGAGGCTGACAGGTTGTACAACTCAAAGTTTGTCGCGCATAACATGAAGAAAATAAAATGATTGAAAATGGTTCACTGTATTGGGGTCAGTAATATTCCAAAATATTTCATACGAATTAAAATTGTCTGATTGATTACAGGTCAAAAGGTTTCAGTTTTTGTTCAGTGAATATGTTTCCTAACATGGCCTGTTTTGTCTCCGCTCGTTTCTTTGCAATTCAGGATGTTGTTCTGACCCTAATCAAAGAAGCTATGGTCAAATGTGTAGATAAAAATTGCTTCTTCCTCATTGATGGATACCCGCGTGAACTGGAGCAAGGAATTCGGTTTGAAAAAGAGGTAAGATGATAAGCATCTTTTTGATCATAAAATCTCTCGGTGCTGGTGTTATGCTTTTGCTTTCTATATTTAAAATACCTCTTTTTGAAACATTTACTGATACCTCATATGAAAATGCGGACTGATTGACCTGGATTAGTAATAGTTGTGTAAGTCCGTTACCGTATAATGGTTTCTGCGGTTGTTGAGAGGTTTCTAACAGATGGGTCAATAAACTCACTTGGCATCTAATGCCAATCCAGTTCTTTCTTGAAAGAAAGGTTTCATAAAGTCATACCGCGTACAGTTCTGCCGTAGTAGCTGGGGACGAGTTGAAGAATCGAATGCCAATGCTTGAAATCCAACAATGATGTAATCGCTTACATTGTTGTTCGGTAAACTGAAGTTTGATTTTGAGATTGTGAAACGTTCAGTTGCCTCGGTGGGATTCGAACCCAAGCATGGACGCCGCCCACGCTTTACCAACTGAGCTACGAGGCTACACCAATTGCACTGATCGTGTAATCGGGATTTCGTCTGTATTCTGCATTACAATTATTTTTGACTAAAGACTAATTGGATAACAAGCTCATCAGTTATTTTTGCGGCCAGTTTCGATAGTGTTCTGTTCTTGTCACCTTTCTCCTCATCAGTTCTCTATTTTAAGCCTGACATTTATTTGAACATTCCAATGTTTCGCACTTAAGTGCCTGGTTAATGGTTGTAGAATCTGAAGCTGACTGAAACTGAATCTTCCCTTTTCTCTTTCGTCTAAATGGGTAGTCATGTGATAGCAACTGAAACCAAGAATGCGAATTGCATGGCTTATGATTTTAAAAACTGAACTGGACCGATTTCCCATCACTTTTATGGAGCATTTGAGCAGAAAGGTTAACTCTGATTAATTGACTCGGTGATTTTGATCCGAGTCTGTTATGATCTAATTAGAAAGTGGGTGACACTTACACCTCTCGTGAAGGAGACCCATATTTCAAATTACAGATAGAAATAAAATATACAGCACTGAGGAGATACGATGAAAGGAAAAATCTATTCTGATGCACTTCGAGTTTATAGTAGACTACAAGAACTGAAAAACACCCTTGAAGGCAAGATCTGAAGGATGAGAAATCAAAGCCACACTGGAATTTTCATTTTCTTGTTCTGTAGGTAAAATAATTTATCATAAAAGCAGCTTGTAGTAAGAAAGATCTTGGGGTATGGTAAGTTTTACTATGATACCCGACCTCCTCGGCGATTTAAGACCTAATTTGTCATGTTCG